ATGGATATCTGCATTGATGAATCGTTGCTAATGTGGAAAGGGCGGTTATTATGGAAGCAATATGTACCTTCAAAAAGAAGTCGGTTTGGGATAAAATTTTTTGTCCTATGCAAGAGTGAATCGAGTTATATCTGGAATTTTTATATATATACAGGAAAAGAAACCGATTATGATCCACGGTATTCAGAATTTAACATTTCAGCTCGTATTGTCCTTCAATTATGTGATGAACTTTTAGAACGTGGATGTAGACTTTATTTAGATAATTGGTACACTAGTGTTCCACTCATAGAGAAACTGTGTGCACATAAAACGGACGTTGTTGGCACAATTCGAAAAAACAGAATTGGCATTTGTAAAGAAGTTAGAGAAACGCGTATCAAAAAAGGCGAATATGTTGCAAAATTTAAAAATAAAATCATGTTATTGAAATGACAAGATAATAGGGAAGGTTATCTTGTAAGTAGCGTCCATAACGACAACATCGTAGAGATAGAAAAAAGAAATGTAATAAAAAAAGTTCCCGAAGTAGTTGTCGATTATAATAATAAANCAAAGAAATATTATAAAAAAAATATTTCTCCACTTTTTAGATGTTATATGTTTAAATTCATATTTAATGTATAAAAAGAATGGTGGAAAATTAACCAGAGTAAACTTTTAATTAGAATATATTGAGGATACAGTTGCATCGTATCCCATCGAATCGCAAAAATTATCACAATCTCGCCCAATGACATCTAATGTTTCACGCTTGATCGAGAAACATTTCCCGGATTANACAACAAAAAATCCTCTGCGAAGATGTTCTGTTTGTTATAAAAAAAATATTAGAAAAGAATCTCGGTACTGGTGTCCGACGTGCAAAGTGCTACTATGCGTTGTTCCTTGTTTTCCTGAATATCACACAACAGCAACAGTTAAAATTTTTAATTTCTATAAATATTTGATTTTTTTTCTAAGTTTGTCGTTTATTATGTGTAAATATATGTTTATGTTGAGTAACTGTGTAAATATTACTAATAAAATTGTTCATTTTCTAAAATAAAATCG